CCCCGCGCTGAGGGGACCTGGCCCCCCCTCAGGGACGGGGCGGCCCCTGCCTCGGGGGTGGGGAGAGGGGCAGCGCCTTCCCTGTGCGGCTGGAGAGTCCTCCCGGGCGGGATCGGGCCCCTTTATGGCGCGCTTCCCCGGTGCGCATTTATTGCGCGCTCCAGTCCGTGGAGTGATGGTGACTTGGCACAAGTGGCCAGGGGCACAGTTCACTGGTGAGTCGTGCCATCCTGCCTTCACACGGGGGCCCCGGCTGCATTTATTGCGCGACTTGGCAGCAAATTGTGCAGTCGTGACTTCACATGGGGGCTCGGGCTGCATTTATTGCGCGATTCGGCAGTGAATCGTGCAGTCGTGACTTCTCATGGCGGGGGACGGCTGCATTTATTACACCCTTCACTAGACAGTTGTGTGCGTGTGTCTTCACATGGGTGGCTGGTGGGAGTTTATTGCGCAGTTCATCAGGCAGTTGTGCAAATGTGACTTTGCACGGGTGGCTGGTACAAATTTGTTTTCGAATCATCAGTGAATGGTGTGATTGCGCCTTCCCATGGGTGGTCAGTCTGAATTTATCGCGCATTTTATCAGTCAGTTGTGTGATCGCAACTTTGCATGGGGGCTGGACTGAATTTATTGCGCGCCGCACCAGTGAATTGTGCGATTGTGACTTCGTGTGGGTGGCCGGCGTGAATTTATTGGCACCCTTCACCAGTCAGTCGCATGATCATCACTTTGCATGTGTGGCCGGTGTGAATGTATTGTGCGATTCACCAGTGAATGGTGTGATAATTCCTTCGCACGCGCTAGTAGGCCGTCTTCCTTTGTATGTGTGGCCGGCTTATGTTTCTTGTGCAATTAACCAGTTAATTGTGTAATCTGCCTAATTTGTAGCAGGGGCCACTGAGTTGTTCCACGTTTTCAAGCCCTGGCTTTGTAGCTGGCCGGCTCTTTTGAGAGCTGGAGAATCCTTTTTATGGCGTGATCGTTATTTTGCACAGGTGGCCTGTCTGGGTTTATTGCGCAGTATATGTAATGTGTAGCAGGGGCCTTGGAAATCCTCCCTCTAGCCATTCCACCCAGGAAGAGCGCACACCAACTGCAGATGCTTCCTCAGCCTGGTGAAAGGGTATTTATACCCGAAAGCTTGCAAAGAAGGATTTTTCCAACTATTTGAGTTGATCTAATAAAAGATATCGGATTTACCGAGAGAACCTCGTCTCCCTCTCTCTGACACGTTCATCTGCAGTGCTGAGGGCTGCTGTACCTGCAGCCCCTGAACTCGTGGCCCCATGACGAGAGCGATAGTGCACTTAATGGACGGCCTTTTCTTTTACTCTTATTCTGCTCCTTGGCCGTGTTTTCCTTTTTGGATTCAGTTTGTTCTGGTTGTTGAGCTCGGGAGGGTGAAACTGGATGGCTCGGTTTCATTCACCCTTCTCCTATCCCCTAGCACTGTGATATTTCAACCGGGGCACCCTGAGGCGCTACCAGAACTTTTGAAGGGTGCTTTGAGGAGAGAAGCGGCGAAACTAAGCAGATAAGTGCAGGCTCAGGCTTGTCCCTGCCTGGATAATATCCTGTCACCACTGCCCAGCCTCTCTGCAAGGAGGCAAGCCTGTAATCTGTGCTACTCCGTTCACAAAAGTGGTGGAGAGGGGCCTTGAGTCTAGTGAGGAGGGGTGTCTCTAGTCCAGAAAGGTTGAGAACCACCGCTGTAGTCGGTGTTATGTTAGGAAGGAAGAGGCGCACGTGTGTGGCAGTCATTCTCAGCTGGGATGCCATGGTGCTCTGGGGTGGCTTGGGATCCTTTCAAGGGTGCTATGGGGTCACGCACACTTAGCTGTGCAAGCACAATGTGCAAGATAAACCCAGAGCTTTCAAAAGAAAGACCACAGCAAGTCAGAAAGTTTATTTTTTAATACTATGAAGTTCTTTTTAACAGAAGAATTGCTCTGTTATTTTTCTGTAATTTTCACTTTCTGAGGGGAGCTTTGCATCTAAAAAGGTTAAGAATCACCCGTGTGTGGGTTCTTCAGTGTTTGTTTATAGTGAGTTTTTGGATTCTCCTCTACCCATCCTTGAAAATATAGCTGCATAGGTTAGTTGAGCACTTCTTAAAAGTATGTGTTTGTTTTCTGGCTTGTGAGTGCGGAAGTTTAAATTGGAAATTGCTCATGAAAAAGAATGGGCAAAGATAATGCAGGTAGAGGGTGAGCCTATAAATAGGATTAATTATATTAAAAGTCACCACCTCCTGATAGCTCCACTTGTGGCAGCCAAGGCTTAGAAGTGACTTAATCAGTACTGCAGTCAAAAAGGGAGATCCAGTTTGTTTGCCTTGTCGCAAAATGGAAAAGTATATTGATTTTTTTTTTTGGTTTGTTTCTCTTTTCAAGCGGGAAAATAATGCCGTTTGTTTCTCCCCACTACAGGTACTGATTATTCCAATTCTAATAAGAAAACAGAAACGTGCAGTTAATATAGCACATGATTGAAGAATGTCCTCAAACATGGCAGTTCTGCAAATAGATCTTTTGTACAGTCACATCTTAGTGATTGAGAATTTATCTGAAGCAAGAGCATGTTCCCTGCTGCGCACATGATTCTCTTGGGAGGGTAGGAGGGTGAAGGCCCTCTTCTCTGATATCCCCATTCCCTTTGTAAATGAGGAGTGACAGTCTCATTGGTTACCTTTTTGCATTAACAGCTTTGCCTTATTTTGAAATGCCAAGTGATGCAGAGTGCTGCATGGCAGAATCTATTAAATCCAAATAGCTTTGGGAAACATTATGCCCACAGCGAGGATTGATGGTTTAATTAGACTATGCTTCTATGCATTACTTTTTTGGTTGCATTATAGGCTCTTAGTCTTTTGCTGGGAATAACTCTTGTGTGTGCTTAGATCAGAGATGGAAAAAGGAAAGCAGAAAAAAAAATTAAAATACATTCCATCTCTATAAAAGGAAGCGTAAGAGAAAATCCTTTATAGAGTTTACGTTACTGCTATCTGTCTCTCCAATCCCTAGTGCTGGAAGGGATGTGGCCACCTTGGTTCAAAAGCATACGTGGTGGCAGAACTTCAGAGGAAGCGATCTTGATTACCGGTCCGGAACCGTTTAACGAGTCGCTAACACCCCCGTTTCTTTCTATTTGGGGTGACCGACTAATGCATCTTCCCACTTGGAGCCAAAAATAAAAGGATGAGAGAGCAGAAGAACTACGTATCATTGAATGAAAGTTAGGTAAAGAGCGGTAAACTCGGTCTCCTGGATGTAGATTTTTCTGGTCCCATTTATTACTATACTCCTTTTTCTGATACGCAGGCAAAATTTCCTCCTTTTTTATTATCTGTTTTTAAATGATTTCCTAATCAAATTTAAATTAAGTTATTTTGCAGTCCCTTTTGTTCACTGAGGCCATCTTGTCTTTCTCTTTGCAATTTTGCTACTTTTCTGACTGGTAATTATGCATGCTTGTATGTAGTACCTGCAACATCCCATTCTTAGTGTCTGGGAACTCAAAGTGAAGTTGCTGTAACTTCTGTGTATCACATGCTTGTGGGTTTGGTTCTGATAACGTTCCTCCTTATGTATCAGTGCTTCTCTTTCTATTTGAACCTAAAGAAGCAGCTTATCTTAAGCCTTTTGCTTATTAGAACTTATGTGGCTTTGATTTTTGAAGTTGTTTCTCCTAAAACAAGTTAAGTGTTGGGGTGGGTGAGTGGAAAACGGACAAGATTAAGGTCCAAAGTCCAACTTCCCTTTCCCAGAACCAGCCTCTTTCTCAGAGTACGTTTTCTAATGTCCATTCCAGTCAAGTTTTTTTTTTTTGTTTGTTTTAAATCTTAGAGATTTAACTTCTTTTAAGAGGCTGTTTCCAAGCTGAATATGTTTCCTCACCTGGAAACTTTTCTTGACACGGAAGGGAAATCTTAATTCTATCCAGCAACATTCCTGTGTACCACGTCCAATTCTCCTTGGCGTTTATGCCTTCCAGACAGTGCTGTATTCCCCATCTAGCTGCTTAGCCTCATGGTACACATCTGAGGCCAGACTTTTTTAAAGGGAGTTAGATAACAAGATGCTTCTGGAGGTTTCACTAGGTGTTTGTGTGCTACCATAGGCACCTAAATGCTTCTGAGGTTGAGGACAATGGGCTAGATTCTTCCTTCGTAATTCAGGCCCTCTTGGCTTTCTGCTGCTGGGCCGGGCCCTCTTGTCCATCAACGTAATGGCTAGTCATCAGTTTGGGATGAGGTCTTTTTTAAGCAATCCACAGTTCATGTAACATGCAGTATGTGTTAATCCTTGATGCATCTTTTCTAAGCCAGAGAAGTGAAAAGTCACAGCTATGGGAAGTTAAAATTACGCTTTTTTTTTTGAAG